AAGGTGCGCGCAAATGCCGAGACGCCGGCGGATGCGCGAACCGCCAAGGACTTCGGAGCTGAGGGTATCGGCCTCGTTCGTACAGAGCACATGTTCTTCGAGGGAGGTCGAATCGTGGCCATGCGCGAGATGATCTTGGCCGCAGATGAGGCGGATCGCAAGGCAGCGCTGGCCAAGTTGCTCGTGATGCAGCGCGAGGACATAACAGGGTTTGGGATTGGTGATCAGAGTGCATGGCAGATGGTGCAGGCGAGTAGTGCCCTGAAAATTGGGATGTGGTGGAAGCTCCAGACAATTCAAGGTACTCGCGCGAAGCAGGCAGTACAGCATGCGTGCTGGAACTTCGGAATAGACGGCGACAGGCCTCCAGGAAGTCAACCGCATTTTGCGGTCCCTGTACAGAAAGTTGCAACATGTTGCAAATTTTTTTCGGGGTATGGCGAAATCATGCGGAATCATTTGCAGGACATCACGGAGCTCTTCCGGATTATGGATGGCTTGCCCGTGACCGTCCGGTTGCTTGATCCTCCTTTGCACGAGTTCATTCCCCACACGGAGGCGGAGATGGCTTCCGTGGCCAAGGCTGCCGGCGTGCCTTTCGAGCGGGTACGGCGTAGGGCCACAGAGCTGCGTGAAGCCAACCCCATGCTTGGGCACCGCGGTTGCAGACTTGCCATCACTTACCCGGAGATTTGCGAGATGCAAGCCCGTGCCATCTTTGAAGCAGCCGCGGAAGTGGGACGCACATCTCAGTCCGGCCGCACGCCTGTGGCGGAGGTGATGGTGCCCTTGGTCGCGACGCTGCAGGAGCTGGACCTGCTGAAGCGGGTCATCGAGAAGACGGCCCAGGCGGTGCAGACGGAGCAAGGCGTCGCCTTCAACTATCACATTGGTACGATGATGCTTGTTCATAACATTTGAGCCTTTGGGGGTCCTTCAATCCTAGTTGATTCAAAACGGGTACACTGCATTCAGTCCATATGTTTGACAACTCAGGATAGAATTGCCTCGCGCCGCTCTACAGGCCGGCAAATTGGCCGGACTTGCCGAGTTCTTCAGCTTCGGCACCAACGATCTCACCCAAACGAGCCTGGGGATATACAAAGGAACCAATAGTTTAGCTTGAAGCAGGGGTGCCTTGAGTGAGCTAAGGACATATGGCCTGAGCCGAGACGATGCCGGGTCCTTCCTTCCGGAGTACAAGGAGAAGGGCATCGTGGAGCAGGACGGGCTGGCCCAAAGGCAGAAGGCAGGTGCGCCTGACACAAGCAAGAGCGTGTCTGGGAAAGGCTCGTGAGGGTTGACCCTGTTGGGGTTCGGTCGAATTCGGC